ATCTCCGAATTTGCATGAAATATTTCAATTCAACGAAAATTTTTTTTTTGTTGCATTAATTATGATCGCCACTGTATATCACATTCTCTCAAAACCTAGAATTTTCCGTTACTCATCCGGAATTCCTTTTGTTATCATCTCACCATCAGTTCGAAAGTTTGTTTATTGATATCCAAAATATTATTTGAAATGGATAATTGATGTGCAACTTTTGTCATGATGTAAACAGGTTCGTCGGCTACGTATTTTGAAAATGAAACTATATTACCGTCATAAGGTAATTTATGCACAACTCTAATAAGACTCCTGAAGTTTCATCTAGCTTCGTCCTTTTGTCGTTATAGGCTGAAACGTTAATCTTAGGTTTCGTCCACAACTTTTACCAACCGACTGTTTACGTAAAGTATTTTCCTTTCTAATTAGCGATAAATCCGGAATCCAAATTGGTACTCAGTGGCAATTTTGTATTTGTGGTTGACAATACAGTCAACTCTCTCTATAACGAACCGGTGGTTCTGTTAGTAAAAACATAATTCGTTATATAAAATCACTGTTTTCTATAGAGCCCACTATTCTTTCCTATAGAGCCCACTACTCTTTCTATAACGAACTAATATCAAATTTAAGGTTCGTTATAGAAAAAGTTCGTTATAAAGAGGTTCGTTATAGAGAGTCGACTGTATAAAGAATGAAAAACAAGCAATCAGCCTTATCGAGACTTTAATTAAATGCATGATCAATAATGTTGGATGTGGTGCCATCTTCTCCGCTCTAAAGGAATTCACTTAAATTATAAGAGATTGTTAGCACGAACAAATACAGTCCTCTGCGATTAACATTCAATACTTGCAAAGAACCGATGGAAGACAGGACAATAATAGAGAAAATAGTGAAGCAATATGTGCACTGGTTTTCCGAACTACCACCAGTTTAGAAAAATTTTCTTTTAATGCTTGGGTATTTGATATGTTCTACCAGTCTTCCTAATATAATACATCTGCTTTCTTGTCAAACATGAAAGAATTAAGTATCAAACTGATACATATGCTAATAGCACTGCTTAAACGCCCTTAGTAAAACAATCATTTTTCTGTCAAAATTCTCACAGTGCAATTCCTTCAAAAATACTTATTGTTAAAAAATAACTTTGAGGTTAAACTAAACAGTGCTATACGGTATGTATTCATGATCTTTGTGATTAAAATTAAAGTACAAAACCAAACAGTCAAGAACAGGCAGGGGTTTTTCGGTTCTTGAAAGCTTTGCAATCTCAAGGAAAATCTTAAATTCTAATCTACGAGCTTACAGAATTGAAAGAAATCGCTTTATTTAATTGTCAAGCTTTGATTGATCAATGACCACCAATTAAATCTTCAAACCGGCTACAGAAGTTATATTTACAATCTTATACACTTGAACTTATCTTTGGAAAAATTTAGAGGCTCTTGAAATATCAGAAATTGACATTGTAAATTATAAAAAATCTGCCAAACTGATATTTTCTCGATTATTATGAAATTTCAGAATTTTCGTTCGAAATTGATAAATTGTATACAATTTCCGAGCAGGGTTATTACAAGAATCAAATCGAGATAATGACTGGAATATTGATTATGACTCACACTATTTTTTAATTATTGCTGCAAAAGAACTTCTCTAAAGAAACATATTCGCCTTGAATTATTGGGTCCATCATTGTTATTTGATTGAACAAGTCCTATCTACTTTTCTTTTTTTCAATTCACTATAAAATACACTCTTGCTTTCATTTTCTTGGTTACTCCTTCACTTTTGGTTAGCTTGAAAGTTAATACACATTCAGGACTCGATTTACCGATGAACCGGTAATCAAATTTCAAGATATCGCTAAAATGCAAAATCGAGAATTTTAATAGACATCACTAAATTAAGCGCGATTCCAATATAGTGATCTGGGAACAAGAGTCGTTAACTCGCGATTTTATTAAATCGCACAGTCGTCAAATCGAGTCCTGACTGTTTTATGTTCTTTTGATCAAAGGAACAGCAATTGAAATAAAAAATCGATATTCACCAAATAATAATTTAACTGTTATCGTTACTAAATGTTTAGCTGGTTAACCGTGAATCATTTACAAAGTATATATTTTTGATATATAGAAAATCATAATAACGGCAAGAGTTCACACGCATCAGTTTTCAAATCCTGCACATTTACGTACAATAGAATTGTAGCAACATTATCAATTTACGCGACCAAAATAAATTTTTGCAGCCATCAATATTCTTTGTCTGAAATTCAATCATAAAATACGGAATTTAAGAGAATATTAATTAAAATTCAATGAATTCAAGATAAAAATCGAAAATTTTCATGTAGTGTAAATTCAATAAATTTTATAATTGCAGAGGCTGCAAATTTTGCACAATTTATTGATTTATCGGTAATTTGTTGAAATTATGGTAATTATAACCGATTTTTTTGCCTTAGATTATGCAAGTCTTTGCTATCGTATAATAAAAAGACTAACTTACGGTAAAGCAACAGATACTCGCTATATCTTAAAAACGCGTATATGCGTACGCACCAAGTTTATAAATCGAATAGTTTGTTGGGAAAAATCTGAGTTAATCGGATTTGTCTTATTAACGAAATTTTCCCCCAAAGATCTTAGACCACAAAATACTCAAATTCTCACATCCGGACAAAGTGCACCCACACAACAAAAAAACACACATAGGTATAACATACAATCAAGATACTAAAAGCAGCCATATTAATATGATAAATCTGCAGTCATTAGAGTATACCTCTGCCTTTTGGAGCGAGGTGTAAATTTTGTGTCGGACTTTCGCGATATAACAGCCTCATTAGGTAGTTTTGGTAGCGCTGCCTTCAGGTCGTAATTAAACTTCGCTGGGTATCGGTTCAGCAACGACCTAATTCGCATCCCGTCCATGCAAACAGTCTCACGTAGATAAGTTACTAATTGTAGTGCACTTTCTATGTTTGCCTCTTCGTCTTTTGTCTGCAAATTAAATGAAAGTACTTCGTCGTCATAAACATAAATGAGTGTTGACTGTTGCTGATCAAACACAGGCATCAGTTTACCCAGACGAATACTTGCTCCATTTACTAATCCAATATGCAAGCACATTTTATTTATCTCTTCATCTGACGGGTAGTGCATCCTATTAAATTCGTGCGTTGCTTCTGCAACGATGACTACATCATCTTTATGAACTTCGAATCTGCCCTGTTCAAATTCAACTAAAAAGAAAGCAAAGTTGTTTTAGTTGCTTACAATTGCAGAAAAGCCCGATTTTGCTGAACCTCGCCCACCATCTCCAGGAATTAAGTTGTGGAATTCCCATATAGGGACAAATTTTGGGTTATGGAGAGAAAACGTATTAGACAAAATGCTTGTCCATAGTTCGGCCTTTATATGGTTTTCAGACGGTTCGCTTCCAAGACCACAGCATGGTGTAGGTATATATAAAATAACCGCTGAAATCACAGGAATACAAGTCAAAGCATCAATTTTGTAATAAATTTTTGACTGATTCCATAGCCAATCGACCCAACTGTTGAACACTGAAGAATTGCCGATTTTGCCCTTATTTTCTAGTGATCGTAACATCGCAGTTACAGACCGAATCCGGCAGTCAAAATGCTGTTCAAAGATAGGAGACAGCAACTTTAGCTCGATTTGTGGAATCGAAATGGTAGCAGGTTTGCGTTCACCTTGCCAGCCTGCATCTGCAAATATTTCGAAATTTACCACTGACCATTCCAACATGACGAAGGAATCTTGAGCACGTTGCGAATCTTCCTCAATGTGAAGTTCCTGCATTGCCAAAAGTGTTCTGCAATAGTTTTTTAGCATCGGATACTTTTCAAAATCAACTGCTTCATGGGCTACATGTCTTCGGGCCACATGGGTTCTGCCGAGTAATCATTAACAGAGTGTGCTCAATTCTAGGACAAGAATGGTAAAATATAGAAGGACGTTCACAGTAGGCCGTCCTCCGTACATCAGGTCAGGCTACCTGACTGGAAGCTTCGCAAACTGTGGCCGTGGTGTGCTTCCGGTTCTATAATTCTACCAGTTTGCACAAAGAACACTGACCTCTTGCAACTTCTTCCGAAATTTTACCAATTTCAGTTTTTCATTACTATTTTCATAAAAAACCCGAAAAAGTACGCTGATATCTCGTCCAAAGAATTGTAACACTCATCAATGGTTGCGTGGAGATTTTGCCTGCGATAGTATTCTTCCCAAGTTGAGAGATTTCCCAATATGTATATCGTCGTGACCAATACTCTGAGGGGAATGTGTATGCAAAAGAATCGTCCATTAATGGTTTATAAAATAATGTATTGAGCAAGGTAGAAACTTACCAGGACATTTAAGCTTTTCAATAATTCTCTGGGAAAGGACAACCATAATTGAATATAAGCAAATAAGCAAACGCGAGAAGCTAAAAAATACATCGTGACTTATAATAGTAATATCCTTTTGATTGATGGCTTGTTATGACGAAATAGATTTAAGGTTATTGTATAATAGGCGGGGTGTACTATATAGTAAAATTTCGCAAGGAACATTTAAGCTATTTTGAATTTTTGATCTTGCGATTTGATTGGTGCATAATTTTAAGGGGTAGATCGGATGGTCGGCATCGGGATCGGAATCACATGATCTGCCATTTTTCTTGGTCTTCACTTTGTTACTAATATATGATGCGCCCAACACTGAAAATTTTGCAGATCATTACTTATAAATTATCTTCTCAAATTTTATGCATAATATGATTGGCTATCAAAATCTATCTTTTACCAAAAAAGCGGCAATTCTTAAAATCCACATAGCTCATAGAAATAATGCTACTAGTCACATTTTTCAGCACCCTGAACCGCTTTCTCTTTTTGCTGCTCTTACCATTAGTATTCGAAATAGGAGGGAAACCAGCAGGTTTAGCATTATCTTTTGCGCTGTTTTCATATTACGCGATTTTGGGTGTCGCAAGGGCTATTTGGTGGAAGCCAGAGGGAATGGGTTGGATTGTGGTTAGTTGATATTTTTATTTACTCATTTTTCTCATTATCTCTTTTTCATATTGACCTTACTATCGAATTTTTATTATATATACTCTCCACAGTCACAAATCCTCTCAGTATCTCGTTCTTTTCTTATCCCATACTTTATATATCACTCATTCAGTAAAACATACAGCTCGCTTCGCGCAAACGCTAGCTCTTACATGGGACTCCCAAATATCCTAAAAGTATACGAAACAACACTAAGCTGGTGTGCGCCAATCTTTATTCTGGCGGAAGGGTTTGCGACGGTACTGGTGGTGTCGTCGGCGTGTCGTGATTTTATAAGGGAGGGCCAACGACGAAATCACCAGGTATTCTGGCTAATGTAGCTATTGTCTGATCTAAACCTAAACCTTCGATTAATTTTTTTTTATTTCATTAAAAATAATAATATAAAGATATACCTCTTAGTTGGTTGGATACTCGGTACCCTATTAACAAGCTACTTTCTTGTTCAAGTATACCTGACAACACCAAACATGGACAAAATTTCGGCCACGTTAATCGGATCGTCAGTTACTTTCACGATATCATTACAACTGATGCTTTTTATGAATAGGAAAGGATTGATTTCTGAAACATCATTCATGGTAAGAACTAAAAAAAAAAATACAGTCAACCCTGTTTACAACGAACTGACGGTTCTATTAATGGAAAAGTTCGTTATATCAAATTTACTATATTTCATATAATACATTTAAAGTTTATTATATCCCGAATTCGTTATAAAAAGGTTCATTATAAACAGAGTTAACTGCACATAATAGATTAGCGTTTCCGCACATTAAAATACGCTTTCTAACATTCATCGATTTATTAATTCATTCAGTCTGCCTATATCGTATACTGTATTTACATGATGTCATATGAATGGACAAACGACAACAATCATCAATCAATTACTACGAAAGCTACGCCTACACCAACTTTTAGTACATCATATACCAGCATAATTGAAGATTCTTCAAAACTAAAGTATCAGCATCTTCTTAACCAGTTACCTTCTTTTTCGTCGTTCATGGAGTTAATAAGGTGAATTATACATAAATACGTTTAACAAATGAAAATAGCACGCACATGAAATAGAGAATCATTTTTAATCATTTTTATTGAATTTTGTCCTCGAATAAATTTTAATATTAATAATAATGATTTTTATTTTCTAGTAATATCCAACCAGACATTATTCTCAAATACGTCACCGACTTTCTGCACTCTATAAAATTCATTGCCGCGCTAAAAACAGCATTATCATTACACGTGTTCACATCATTGACGTTTCGTGTGGGCATAATCTCGATTGCAATAACTCTCGTGAAAAAGAATTGCTTTGGTGATGATGTTGTCGGCGATCATAATAACAACGAGTTCCATAAATTCTTGAGAGATGAAGAAAAGGTTAATATTCCCCCAATTAACAAATTTACTAAAATATTTTCAACTCGAAGCAAAAAACTATTACTGATTCGATATATTAATATATTCTAGTCACTAAGATATCTCGCCATAATAACAGCTCTCTCGACACCAATCATTATTGCTATTTACACTCATCTTCTCCTGTGTCACTACGGATACTTGGATGGCGGTAATTATGTATCAAGATGGCTTAATGTGTATGTCTCTTTGACCTTTTATTCGATAGAGTTGTTCAGTCGGAAAGCACAAGATAATGATGACGATATATTTTCTCCTTTATATGACGACGATTAGAATAACTGGCACACGCGCGTGCTAATACAAATAGATAATAAAATTGTTCATATTAATTAAAAAATATCATCATTAATATAATGAATTAGAAAGGAGAAAATTATAATTATCATCAAATATAATTCTTCAGCCACAAAATCCTCACCCCACCAACACACACAACACCAGGTTTTAACCTTCTTTTATTATAATATGAATATATATATATAAATGTATAGAATTCGTGTGTATGTAAATAGAAGAGGGGGATTTAAATGTATATTTTGCTTTATATAACGTATTTGTATAATATTTTTGAGTAAGGTACAATAATGATAATAAATAAGAGTTTTGTTTACAAAAAAATAATTACATTTTACTCCCACAGTTTTCTTGATTGATAAGTAAAAAGAATCAAATAATCATAAGGAGGGTTGGTTTAATAAATATTCTGGTAAAAAATAGAAGATTATTAATAAATCTCAAAATACAGCAAAAATAGATTATAATGGAATCTAATAGATACCCTCGCATAAATTTTTTACACAATCCGAACAATCAGTATCTGGCTTACGACATCCACAACCGCATAGTAATACGCCGTCCTCATCAACAATTGTCGTGTGCTCAGGTGGTTGTGGATTAGATGAACAGCAATTTCCGACTCCACTGCTTCCTCCGTCATTATTTATATTGATATTTCGTAAAGAATTTGATGTAGTATGAACTCCAATATCTCCTACAGTTGCATTTTCTCTTCTTAAATGAGTCTGACAACCTTGACAGCTACAACTTGTACCACATCGACATACAGAAGATGAAGTGGTGGAAACCGATGCGGCAGTTGTAGTTGATAATGACGAATTATCTGATGACGAAGAGGATGCAGATGCAGGACCACAACAACTTCCATTTGGTAATGCCGATTTACAACTCTGAAAAGGACCATAAATAATATCAACTAAATCATTAGAAGTACTATGACATAATTGTTCGCCGAGAATTCCACTCTCATCAATCATTGATTTCTCGTCCTCTTCATGATATGAATTATAATTTTGTGGACCAGCAGAAATAATAGAACTACTAAGGTCAATATCAACACCACTTCCAACAGTATTTTGTGTTTCCAGTTTCGGTAATGGATACGATAAACCCGGATAAGACGCAATTCGTCGATGTTTATAGGGATTACGTGATTGATAGGACATTGTTGATTCTGATAGTGGCGATAATGATGTTCCACTGCCATCACTTAAATAACCACCACTGTTCCATGAATTATTATTGATGTTGTTGTTATTGGTAACTTTCGGACTGTAGAATCGAGAGTTACTTTGTTGAGATGTGATGGTACGAAGTGATGGAAATACCGGTAATTGAGCAGCAGTTACTGCATTCTGTCCTATTATTTCTCCGGCAAGAGGTCCGATAGTTGATCTATTATTATTAGCGATTGTAGTGTTGTATGATGAATTCAACTGTGCAGTCATTTGCAAAAGAGGAATAGAATTGCCTACGAGTGATCCAGCAATACCAGTTGTTGCCGTCGATGTTATAGGATTTGTTTGATTTGACGTGGGAGCAAAAAATCTATCTATTTGATCATAAATTTGTGTTGTTGATTGATTTATCGGAGGAAAAGAAAAATCGGAGGTCGTAGAAGTTTGATTAATATTGTTGTCCAAAATAGTATTTCCCACGGAAATATTATTAATATCATTTATTTCTTGCTCTGCTGGTCGGCAACAGATGCACTTGGCTCCTGTTGTGCATTGACACGGATTAAGAAGAGCTTCAACTATTGAGATATTTCGTATAATACAAAAATACACCGCCAAAGTAAAATGTTACAAGGGAGAATATTTAGAGCTGTATTTTTCTTTGTCAATATTTTTTTTCGCGAATTTACTCTTACAAAAAAAGAACAGCCAATCAAAATACAGTTAAAAATCCGTTGAAATTATAATATCGTACCAGAATGTTTACCCTCAGAATTTTGCTGTTGATTTTGATTTTGTTGATGTGGCAATGGTTGTTGCTGTCGACTGAAGTCTATAAAATTTTCTATTTTAAATTGTTGTTCTAATCCATTCACTAGCGATACGCTTTGTTGTTGTATTAATTGTTGACGCTGTTGTTGTTGCTGTGGGATTATAGTCACCGCTAAATATCAAAAAATAAAAACATGTGTAACAATTCATATACTGATTTTTAACCCCACTCTCATTAATAATCGACCAAAAATATATAACATCAAATATTCATTACCCTCTTCTTTCTTCTTTTCATTGCATGTGCACTTTACATGCACTTTTTGTGTTTTGCGAAGTTCGCGGCAATGAGCACATTGTGTTATAGGTCGACCTTTTCGTTTTATTATGGATAAGGGTCGATCGGAGTGGTGACATGCAGTCGAACGATGTCCTTTTATGCACGTCGTACTTTAAAAAAAAAGTAAATACAATTATTTATTTTGAAATGAATAAAAGAAAGTGGGCTATTTCTTATTGGATAGGAAATGGTTGACTTTTGTTGCGGACAGAGAAAACTCGCTGGGAGACGAACCCATATCCTCGCTTTCCAATATATTAAAAACTTTAAGAAAGCGTACCAAGCATATTTGACTCCGTTGATGAAAACCATTTTTCTGTGTGGCAAACCCAGAAGGGCAAACCTCCGCACAATGGCGGATGATGGCACTTTTTGAAGAGTAGTATATAACGCCCTCTAACTTGGGTGTTTGATGTGAAGTGTTGTGTCTATTGGTTTATTGTTCGTTTATATTTAGATTTTTCAGGATCCTGACCAATCATAAATGAGATTTAGAATATAATGGAAATTACCAATTATGGATAACGATAACGATAATGATTTTTGTTCTGCATCTACATCTCTTCTCGACCAAGATAGACTTAATGAGAACCAAAATATTTATCGATATACAGTATTCTAATTAAAGATAATTAGCTTTTTACCACGTGAAGAGTAACACAAATGCTGACTCTCGGTTCAAAAGATGGCAGGAAATATAGATTTAAAATCGGTTGGAATCGTAATACAACTTCCTGACAAACTGAAGAAATCATAAAGCTCGCAAAATGACGATGACCTATCTAGCGCTAATATTCAACAGAAAATGGAAACAAAAGGTGTAAACATTAGTGTACGAACAATTGCATGACGTATACGTGAAGCTGGAGGCAAATATATCAATAAAATTCCTAAACCTTTACTCACAAAAATCATCGAGAAAAATTCTTACGATGGGCAAACGATCACATAAATTTTGACTGGAATCGCGTAGTATTTACAGACGAGAGTACTTTTCGTTTAAATCAATCAACAGGGAAAGCATGACAATTCGTAAAAAGAAGAAAAAGCTTTCGTATCATAAAAGTCAACGTGTGGGGGTGTTATTCATCTTCTGGCTTTGGCAAATTAATATGCTTTCAAAGAAACCTTGATGCAAGATTTGTGTGTATTATTTACAAAAAGGGTCTTTTATCTTCCGTCAGCAAGTTTTTTTGAAGGATAACTTAGATTGGGTTTGCAAGAAGACAATGATCCAAAGCACCGGTCAAAAATAGCTAACGAATGGAAGGCAAACAATAATGTCACAGTTCTCCCCTTGGCCATCGATGTCTCCTGATCAAAACTCGATTGAAAATATTTGGCACTTGATGAAAATTAAGATATCGAAAAAAAATTCAAACTCTTAGAGGATTGAAGGCAGAATTGACAAAAGAATGGAACCTTCTTCCAAACGAACTTGCCATGTTTTGGCATTAATAGAGGTCAATGGAGATTATACTATGTATTAAAATTAGGGTTTGTTATGTAGTTTAAAATAAATTCAATTTTTTTTATTTTTGCATGATTTAAAGGGGGTCTGTTACTATGTCCTCTACTGCAAATATAAAAACAAGTATAATAAACAACCGATAAAAATTAAATAAAAAAATCGTTTTTCTCTCAAGTTCTCGACAAGTGATTCGGAGCATTATGAAAAAGACTTTTCCACATGTACGCTTCCGAAACCAGCAGTTCAATGTCTTTTTCGACCCAATGAGAAGTAGGTAACGATTGAAGAAATATCATGATTTCCTGGTCAATTAATCGATTATTTTTAGCAATTTTGGTTAAAAAAACGCATGCATCAAAATAAAAAATCAATACCTGAAAATCCATCGACCTTAATTTGTCAGACCATTTTACCAAAAACGCTGCGCACACATACAAATGAAATTCGGAAAAACCGTCTGGACCTTCTGCCTATATAATAAAAAATCTAAATTTAAATTATATCCAGAACTATTATATAGGAAAATAAATAAATAAAAAATAACATACCAAATACGTATCCCACATGCGAATAGTATTTTTTAATGACAATTCCCGCATCAATAAACAATTCATCCACCGAAATGCAAATTGAATGAATTCAACTCCTTCGGCTTGAAGATGTGTGGCTAGTTTTGCTATTATGATTATGATTATTATAATTGTTATTGTTGAATAAACATTGAAAATAGAATATACTACACAATTAAAACTACTATTGTACGTACAATCAATTCGATTTATAAGTTCTTTTAATTTTCCTATTTGTCGTTGTATCCCAGGTTGTGCAAATGTATAATTATCCTACCAAATAGATCGAATGATTAGCAACACAAATAAGTTCATATCTAAGTGCACACATATATTCGCACCTGAATCCCATCCAGCAATTTCGACAAACTCCAAAAACTATCTGCCTCTATAACACTCAACACCTCGTTAGGCAAACTACCGGGATTATAGTACTCGGGATCGTCATCTAGATGATCATTGGTTGATAATTTTATATATGTTTTGACTATTAAAGGATATAGAAAGGAATTGCCTGACCAACCTATGTATGCAGCGAGAAATACTTGGAAAAAAGGTGTAACGAGGTCATTTATGCCCTGCACATATCCACTAGCTGGATGTCTTATTGACCAGACGTAAAGAATTCGTTCTAAACACTAATGAATAAAACATTACGTACACTATCATAAGTCGTAAACTTACGTAAAAATAATGTTTATTAAATACACTACAAAAACAATAGTAATTATAAACCTGCTGTGTGGTTTCATATTGATATAATGGTGTACCGGGATTTGTTCTTGGCACATCGATATGTATCTAAAAAATATATTTATAATAGATAATTCTAAATTACCAGAGTCTGGAAGTTTTATTTCGAAAATTCAAACAAATAAAGAATTTTGAGATTTTTTTATGCTTTATATCACGAAATCCCAATTAAAAAATAAATAATATTTTTCACAAAAAAAAAAAAGACAAACCTGATGCCATATTGCTTGATCCAATCCCTCAATCCCTTTTGCATATGCTTGAGACACACTATCCTCATATTCTTTCCGTTTACGTGCTAATGTAGCTACTTGACGATCTGAATTACAAGGAAGGTATCCCTAAAATCGAATAAACAAATAATGCACAAATTATAAAATATAAAATAATCTTTCAAACGAAATACAACGATGATCTTCAAAATCAAAAAACGTGAAAAATGCGCTATATAAAAAAATAGCATACATACAAGAAGAAACTGCCACGCCATTGGTCGTAATTCATCCGGTATTCCTGACCAACTAAATTTTCTGAGTGCGGCTGAAATCATTCATAATGTTCAATTAGACTATTGTTAGCATTATCATTATCGAGATATTATATATCTACGTAAAGAATAAAAATCGTTACCTAGATCTACGTTAGAGCTCTGTAAAACGTCTTTAAATTTATTGAAGCGAAGTAAACGCGCGTTATAGTTAGCGAGTTCAGTCTCTGTTAAACGTTTCTTGCTGGGATGTAAGAATTTTATAAATTTTATGGAATTGATAGGATCTAAATTCCAAGTGTACATTATTCAATTAATAAATAATTATCTCTCATACATAATACTATAGATGATAGAATACCTTGAACAAGTTCAGCAATTCCCGGCTTTATCCCATCTTTTATTTTTCCCGTTGCTCCACTCTGTAATTGTGGTTGCTGAGTATTTTGATCTGTCTTGGAATTTTTCTGATTATCTATTCGATTCGAATCTAATTTTTTTCCCGATGAATTATTCTCTATTAAAATATTATTATTATCGTTTCGATTTTGCGATTCTTTAGACATTATATTATCAATTTTTTTATTTAATTTGTTTTCTGCTGCTGCTTCTTCTTCTTCTTCTGACCTATCATTCCATTCGTCGTTTGTCTCGGTCAAAAATTCAGAAAAAGCTTTAGGCGAAGGATCTCGTTGTTTTTCTTGTTGATTTGATGATGTTAATTCTTTGTTGTTGACAGAAGTCGGTGGTTGTAGTAAAGTCGAGGAAGAATTCGCGTGTCTATTCAAAGCAATTTTTACTGGTTCTTTGTAAAAATGCGTCACGTAAAAATCAAATAATGATAGTAACAATAATATGTTGCTTATTGATGAAATAAGTAAAAATTATATGAAACATACTCGGACGGTTCAAAACTACTACTACTATTGTTACTACTGCTATCGACGACGTTCAGTGTCTCCCCATAAGAGTATTGCGCGCCAATAATTATTTCTGTAGCACCTGTTTTTGAATCGACAGGCTTAACTCTAAATAAACGTGTTAATTTGTTATATTCTCAGAATTCAAGGAAAGTGTGATGCGCCCGAGAAAAATGACACCTACCCCCCAGGTAAAGATGATGTATGACGCCGCCAAAATATCCTTAAAACGCACAAGTTTCCAATTTAGTAAACCTTTTTATTTTAAATCCAATCAAGAAATGCAACTATTATATATACTTTTTAGATGTTGAAGAAACAGCCAGATTTACGTCAGTCATACTAACTTCCTATAAAGTGTGTAAAAGAGCGCGTAGTTAAGATTACAAACCGAGATTATAAAAATCATGTGATCCATGTGGAATTTGACAAAAGCAATACAACACCAATTCTGATTCTCAGAAAATGACTTCGCGTCGAGTTTCACACACAGTCTCACCTGTTAATAAAGATCTTGAAAGAGATAGGCCAAAGAAAAAATCAAAACGCCGTCTTAGGGATTCAGAATACTCTGAAAGCGAGGAAGAGCATGAGCGTGCACATAAAAAGAGGGAGTCTTCAAATCCACGTATATATCTTTTGCATTACTTGGAAACATGTCTTCGCATAAAATACATTTTAATGAAAATTATGATGAATAAATGATGTTGGTAATTCAATAGAAATATCCGAAGATGACTATTACTCAAAATCAACAGAATTTCGTACATGGCTACGCGAAGAAAAACAAAAATACTTCGATGAAATGTCGTCGCATCAAACACGAAAATATTTTCGAAAATTTGTTCGTGCATGGAATAAAGATAAACTTGATAGTACGCTTTGTGTATTTATTTTGCTTCATGCATCTCAGAAAAAAATATAGATTTTGTGAGAGCACCCATAAAAAATCAATTTTTGGAATTATCTTATTATAGAGAAATATTATGATGGAATCAGGTCTTCGCAAGTCAATAGTGCGGAATCTACTCGTTATAAATGGAAGATTAATGTTAGTCAGGATGAATTGGAACAAGTTAAGAGCTCTGTTGATCGCCAGACAAACGTGAAGTTTGATGCAAAATTTAGAGCCCATGTTGGTATAAGTGGTGGTGATGGTGGTTATACTGCTAGTTCTGCTTCCACGACGACGACAACAGAGCAATCAAAGGACGTTAAAAAACGACCGATTATCGGTATATATATATACCTTAATTTATTGACGATAATATGAAATGACATGAAAAATTGAAAATAATGAAATTAATATTGATTAGGGCCTACAATGCCGCCTCCATCGTCTTCAAGATATGATGAAGGTAAATTATATTTTTAAGCAACAATTCAAAAATTCATTAAAGAAATTAAATGGCATAAAAATAATTAATAAAAATTTTAAAAAGATATGGACGAAGAAGACCGACAACGATACGAGCACTCCTTCAGAAAAAAGGAACGAAAGGAGTTCCAGAAAACACACGAAACAGTTCTCGAAGAACTAGTTCCAAAGGCGACTGGTCGTGAGGCAATGATTGAAAAGAAAAAAGCACAGAATGCAAAGTTTCGACGAGAAACGAGTCCGGATGTCGAGTTGAATGATCAGGATTTGATGGGTGGTGATGATTTTCAGACAAGGTAGCAATAAGAATATTATATCTCCTTAGTTAAAATATAATGTCTACTAAAAATGACATGTAATTTTTTGTAGACTTGCTGCGCGTGATCGCAGTCGAGAAATGCGTAATAAAAAGAGAGACGAATATCGAGCTGAGAAAGTAGCAAATTTACAAGAGAAAGCGACTGCTTATCAAAACAAAGAACAACAAACGTTGGAAATGTTTAAACAGATGGCCGAACTACAACGTAAAGCTGGTGGTGGGTTATGGGGAAGCAAAAATTGATGGAATCAAAAGAAATTTTTGTCTTTTGGAAATAAGTTTTGTTTGGCAGGTACATAATGAATAAACTCATTTATAAAATAATTTTTATTTAGTTCGTCTGGTATTATTAGTAGAATTAATAAATTAATCATTTATTTTTAAAGTTTCTGATTATAATAATGGAGTTGATTTTTGATAACCTTTATTAACAAATTTTATAAAGAACTAAAATCAACCCAAGAAAAAAAGAAAATACAATAAAATAACTTTCCAAGAGCACCACCAGCTCAATCAATAATATAATTCTCCAACTTCTTCAACAACCCCGCCGCCTCATCCAACATCTCGTCCGTTTTACAAAACGCGAATCTCGCGTAATTTTCGCCAAGATGCTGATTTTCGAGAGAATAAAATTCACTGGGCGGAATAGCGACTACACCGATTTCTTTTGCCATCCAGTAACACGTCTTGAAGTCTTTTGGACGTTTTTGAATAATTTCGGGGACTTGGTAGTTTTCAGGGACGCGTATTTTTGATGTGTTTACCAGAAGGAAATAACTTCCTTGGGGAATGGTGTACGGAAGTCCGAGGTCGGCAAATGGTCGGATCATTTTTTCACGTTTCTTTTCATAGAGGGCTATTTGGTTGTCGAAAAAGTTATGTTCGTCGGCTTTTTCGAATCCTATTGCTATTGCTTCCTATTTATATTAATATACAAGAGTTCAATAAAAATGTTTTGTGAATCAATGACAAAATGATAAAAATACCTGAAGTGGAGAATTCGCAATAAAAACAATTCTTGTGTGAGCAGCAAGAGCTGTCTCTATTAAATGATGGTGACCAATTAACCATCCAACACGCCAACCAGTCACACCAAAAGTTTTCCCCGCACTACCAACTGTTATTGTACGTTCCCATAACCCAGGTAGATTTGCAATACGTTCATGCGTGTCAGGTCTAAAATATAAACGATCATACTGCACAAGAAACCGAAAATATAAATAAAAGACATTTGACCTCAACCAAAAATAAGTTTACTAAAACAATATTTTACCACTTCATCACTAATAATCAGCAAATTATGCTTAATTGCCACTTGTCCAATTTCAATCAATTCCTCTTTTGAAAACACTTTTCCAACAGGATTATGTGGGGTATTGAGTACAATAATTTTAGATTTTGGAGTGATTTTCGCGCGTAATTCATTGATATCGAGACGCCACTCGCTAGACGAAATCACTTTATTCCCGTCGAATTTTGGACGCAATGGCACGTAAACTGGCACACCACCGTTCATTGTGGTATTTGACTTTTGACCGATAACGGCAGATGATAATTATTATTTTATTTTTCAATGTGAAAAAATGAGTGAAAGCAATATTATGTAAGTATAGATATGACTGAAATTCAGTTAGAATAAATTAATTAGTTTCACTTTTTAAGAGATCTCACTATATATTGATCAAAGAATGGTTCCATCAAAATTACTTCATCTCCAACATCCAAGTATCCAGCAAAAATTGCAAATATTCCTTAAATTCAAAAGAAAAAAAAAGTGAAATTGTAATAAAATTTAGACTTTTAATAAAAAAAAATTGGTCTCTTACCTTCATTCGCCCCAGCAGTGACTATAATCTCAGTTTCAGGATCCAGATTTCTATTATGAAAATAGGGATCATAAGCTTTTGCTAACGCCTTTCTTAGACGTATTCTTCCTTTCGGATGACTATTAATTATATATAATAAATAAAATGTGTTAATGAAGACTTTTAATAATAAAACGCGAATTACTTATTGAATTAATGATAAATGACCTATATTGATTATTAGCATTATCTGAAAATACACCTTTTGCTGACTCGATTATGAAATCAGGCGGAAGAAAGCTTTTTTATTCAATGTAATAAATAAAATTTCCAATGATTCATATTGTTGCTATTTTTTTTACTCTGAAAACATTAAATCATACTTCATGTAGCCTTGTCCCAAGTTAACAGCCTTGAGTTGCGCAGCCAATGGTGAAAAGATGCTCCAAACTGAATAGTTAAAAATATACAGATAGACATTTAATTTACGTGTACATTTATGCGGATATTTATTTATATGATACAAACGCACCGTCTTGTTCAAAATTTGCAACTCTCTCAGCTTTCTTCAGGATTTCTTTTGGACTTGTATGGCCGTTTGTCGCTATACTATATTGCTTATTCTTAATAACATTATTGCTGTTCATAATGTTAATACTATTACTATTACTCATAAATGACACTATCTTTTTCAAACAACTATTTTTATTAGAAATTAACAGATTTAAAGCAGGTTGTCTTGTGTGAAAAAGGTTTCTTTTATAAAAATTTAAATGTGTAAATGAAGAAAAAGAGAATTTGGAACTTTGAAAAGAAGCGAAGTTCAACATTGTTTCCTAATAGTGAGTTTTTTATAAACACGTGCTTAGATAATTTATTGTCACGGCAGTACCGACTACTATTTCTGAGTCCCAACGCCTCTGCCTTAGCAATTAGACGTTGGCGAAAGCGGTAGTGCGCCCAACAGAGCATTTTACGGACAGTCTTCCGTGCGATCTTTCTCGTCTTACAGTTGGTTAGGTCATGGGTTTAATTGATTATTGTTTCTAGGTCATCAATGTCTTTTTTTTGCTTGTCTTTGTTAATAGAAGGTTGATTGTATATAATCAGAACAAAATTCATTATCACATGGAATTAAATATTCTTTACAAAGCTTGACATTAATATATTCTAAATGAGCCAGTTGTAGTCTTCTTTTTGGTGTAATTTGTTGATATATTACTTGAAAGATTTCAATAACAGTTGTATCTTTTGAACCATTATTTGAAATTGTATCCATTTCATTCTCAATGTCTTCTTCATAAATATAGTGTAATAAAATAGCCTTTTCAATCTCATTATATTGAACATATACTAAAGTTAATATTCCATAGTCTCTCAATTTTCTAATAGTGTTTCTATTTCATTGTCATTCACCATAATTGAACCAATATACACATTGTTCAAAGTAGTCACAAAAGTATTTCTTGTTATAACTATCAGTAATATACATATTTCTAACTTCATTTCAATGTTCACAATATGAACAAGATGAAAAATTAAGTTTCTTTTCTTTATAATATTGTTCACAAGCTGTTTTAAAGACATTTGTAATGTAAAATAAATTTTGAAATATTATTCTTTCACATACTTTCTACATTCTTTATATCTCACTATTTTGAAGGTTGGATTGAATATTTGTTAAGCTTCATAATCTGCTGGAGTTTTGTTTTTAATTTCATATAGTTTGCATTATTCAATTGTGATTCACTCAGACAATTGATTCCTACAAGTCATACACCAATTTTTTGAGGTATACTGTATTTTAGAACACCAACAAATTTTTTGAGATCCTTGTCAGTTAGTTATTTACTTTTGTTTTTTATGCAAAGTGTTTTGAAATTTGTTTCTCAATTGTTAATAATCATTTCAAATATATTTCTTATTTTGAATTTTAATGCCTTCTTGATATACCTGAACATGATGAATATTTCTAACACTTTAGATAATTGGTAAAGATACAATTTCAAAGTTTACATTGTTGTATAATGATCTTTCGTCATAATATTTTATTATTGGATTATACATATTTTATATCTTATTGGATAAAGATCAAATTACATAAAGTGAGCGAATAAGCGAATGAGCGAATGAACGAATAACTAAACGAACGAGTGAACGAATGAGCAAACGAATATTTAACCAATAGAATTTAAGTGATATAGCGAACATGAATTCGTATAGCCTAGAAATTATATCTTGGATTTGTATAAAAGCAACATGTATCGTAGTTGTTAGAATTAGATA